TGATATTAGCCCATACGTCTGATACCAATCTAAAAATTCCTCTTGAGACTTACAAAACACATGCTATGACGCCAAATGCAGGAAGTTCACAGGCCAGTGGGTGGAAAGTCTTGTGGATCCAGTGGCGATGTAAGCATCTCAGCACTGGTGTGGGTTGCCCTGTGGCACTTCTAGCTCCAGGGCTCTAGTGTAGCTTCATGTGTCTTGTCATCAGGAATGTCTTGCAGGGAATAAGTGAGTGTCCGGCCTCCAGCCAACTATTTATCTCCTTAGCACCTCCAAATGACATCATCAAGCTGCAACCTGATTGACAGACTAGACTCCACCGCTTCACAAGTTGACACCAATTTATGTAACTACCACAGGTGGGGAGGAGGGGGAGAAGCCATGGGTGAAGGGAGACAGTGAGCAATGTAAAATATGGAAATAATACTAATTTATATCAGGAAGTCACGAGGGTGGGAGGGGAGGAGGAAAAAAAGAGGAGCTGATACAAAGGGCTCAAATAGAAAGTAAATGTTTAGAAAATCATGCTTGTTACAATTGATGTTATAAAAGCTGTAAGAGCCTCCAATAAAATGATCTTAAGAAAAAAAGTCACATACTGCAATAAAAAAAGATGCTATTTAAGAAATTTGTGAAGTCAGGTTGAAGCTGAAGAAAATTAAAACAAATCCACTAGAGTCAGAATATGACCATAATTATACTCCACCTGAATTTCGAAAACATCTCAAGAACAGATTTGGTACATTAAAGTGTTGAAAAGTAAGGATGTTTTGAAGACTTAGGTGCGCCTGACCCAAAGGCCTCAGTTTTCAATTGCCTCTTATGCGTGCGAAAGTGGATGTTGAATAAGGAAGGTAGAAGAGAGATTGATGTATTTTAATTATGGTGCTGGTGAAGAATGTTAAAAGTACCATAGTTTTCCAAAAGAACAAACAAATCTGTCTTGGAAGGAGTACAGCCAGAATGCTCCTTAGAGGTCAGGATGCCGAGACCTTGTCTCACATACTGTAGACATCTTATCAGGAGAGACCAGTTCCTGGAAAAGGACATCATGCTTGGTAAAAAGAAGAAGGGCAGGGAAAGGAGGACACCTTTGACAAGATGGATTGATATAGTCACTACAAGAAGGAGTTCATACCTGCGAACAGTTGTGAGGATCGGGCCAGGACCAGGTAGTGTTTCATCTTGTTTTCCACGGGCTTGTTAGGAGTCGAAATTTACTCAGTGGCAGCTAACAACAAAATACTTTGTTGAGAAGTTTTGCATTTGGGTTCATATGGGTTACTGGTCTCTAGTTTTCTATTCTAGTAATGGCTTTGACTGGTTTCCGTATCAGGGTTGTTTGTTTATTCATTATCAGGTTTATAAAATGAGTATGTTGGTGTATCATCCTTTTTTATATTCTGGAATAGTTTGTGTAGAGTTGATGTTAACTTTTCTCTGAATATTTGGTCAAATCCATCAATAAAATAATTTGAAAAGCTAAACAAAACAACCCAACCATTTGGTCCTGGACTTTATTGTGTGTTATTTTTTTAATGACCTGATCTATTTCTTCTTGTTGTTATTGGCCAGTTAGAATGTTTTATATCGGTCTGTGTTAATTGAGATAAGTAGTGTGCTTCTGGAAATTTGTTCCTTTTTTCTAGGCTTTTGAATTTGTTGGAGTATAGTCCTTCATAATATTGTGTGATAATCTTTTAGTTCTTTTGTGATTTCATTTCTTATTTGTAATTTTTTTCCCTTGTTCCCACTGGTTTATCACTTTTGTTCATCTTTTCAAAGAACCAACATTTTGTGTTTTGATTTTTCTAATGCTTGATTCATTTATTTCTGTTCTAATGTTTATTATTTCTATTATTAGTTTATTATACCTATTAAGGGTTTGTTTTACTGCTTTTGTTGTAATTGTTGTGGGTGTTGAACTAAGATGTTGATTTTAGTTCTTTTTTAATTGTGCACTTAATGCTGTAAATTGCCCTGTGAGTACTGTGTTAGCTATGTCCCAAAGGTTTTGGCATGTTGTATTTTTGTTCTTGTTTGAGGAATTTTTAAGTTATATTTTTTTCCTTTAATTACCCAGTGGTTTTAAAGTAAGGTGTTCAGTTTCCATGGAGATGCCACTGTCTTTTGTGGACTCAGATTAAATCTGGGGCCTAGCAGGTGTAGAGAGAGAGGGATCCACTTACCCTTTTACTCTCAGACCCACAGACTGCAGTGCTGCACTACCAGTAATCTGTTGCTTTTCTGGGCTTGTTTTCATGCGAACTTCCCTTCTTGAAATTACCAGTTTGTGTCTGGCTTAGGCTTTTCTCCTACCTGCAAGGTTGGGAAGACAGGTGTTTGGTTCTCCATTTTGTTCAGATCTTTGCATGGACAGGATGATTGAAGAACGTCTGACTGTGTGAACATGTTTTTCCAAATGTCCTCTCAAGCTATTTGATGATGTATGTGTTTTACAAAGTAACACAACAATTTTTCATTGTTCTTGTTTTATGTTGTATTAAATATTATTTTAATGAGTTTTTATTTCCATCAGCATCGATTTGATGGCAGCGAGTTTGTGTAATATCACAACACAGTGCACTTTTAATAATTTGATAAAAATGCTAAAGGTCACAGAGCAATTGTAATATTTCCTAATGATTACTAAAATGGTCTGATTTCAGATTTCATGACAGTTTTTCTTTTGGTGGAGTTTCTTATTGCTATTTGAAGCAGGGATAGTCTGTATTTGTGACTTATGCAGGGCTGTTTGGGAGAACCACTAGACATTATTTGACTCATTGATGCTTATTCTAGAGCGATCTACTGAAAAAAATAACAACATAGGCATCTGCCCTTGAAAAAAATGATTTTGCTCATATTTGAAAATACTATTTCAGTTATTTCTCAGTATCTTAATATGTATACCTTCCAAATTCCATGAAAATGTATTTTACAGTTTGTTGAGGAATACAGCAAGAGAAAGAGACTTTGTTTTATTTATATAAATGATCACTGGTTAGGAAGTTGTTGACCTTGTTAATATAAACTATCCACATTTATTTTTGAAGTATGGTGCTCATACATTTGACATTAAAGCCCTGGAAGGGTTAGAATGCTACTGGTTAGAAGACTTGGATTGAATTCTGACTAAGACCCCTCCCAAAATCAAACTTCCTGCCATCAAGTCAATTCTGACTCATAGCGACTCTCTAGGATAAGGTAGAACTGCCCCTTTGGGTTTCCAAGACAGTAACTGTTTATAGGAGTAGAAAGCCTTATCTTTCTGCAGATCCACTGGAGATTTTGCTGACCTTTCAATTAGCAGCCCAGCATGTGACCACTGCACAACAAGGTCTCCTTGACTAGCCCCTACTTTAGATAAACTATTACTCTGAATCTCAGTTTCCTTACTTACAAAATAGAGATGATAGTGGTAACCATACTATTACAGTAGATTTGTACGAAAATCAGATGAGAACTCTGGGCTGCTGCTGCTTTTTAAAAAATTTTATTGGGAGCTCTTATAGATAATATAATATCCATAATTCAATTAGATCAAGTATAATTGTACAATTGCTGCCACCATCCGTTTCAAAACGTTTTCTTTCTTCTTGAAATCTTTTATATCAGCTCTCCTTTATCTCCTTCCCTCACCCTACCCACCAGGAACCCTTATTATTATATATTATTTTATTGTTACTATATATAATATATACATACATATATTTTGCCGTATCTTACACCATCCAATGAATCTGTTCACTTACAATTCTGTTATTTGTACCCCTCGAGTAGGATTATACAGTCATCAGCTCCCTCTTTCCCCCCTCACCCCCCTTCCTGTACCCTCATTACTGTTTCTAAAGGTTTGTCTATCTATCTTGGCTTTCATGCATCAAATGATCTTAATTATACAAAGGAACATACACATGTCTAACAAAATTAATGAGGTAAAACACATACCATAATAGTAAGGGAGGAACTATTAAAGAACTAGAGGATAGTTATATGTTTCATAGCCTGGGTATGTCATCCCTTCTGTGTGGCCCTTCTGTGAGGGACTGTCCAATTTTCTTACAGGTGCTTTGGGGTCTCCCCTTAGTTCACATTCCTTCACGTTAATTTGATTGCTTGTTTTTGAACTTCTGATACGTACTCCTGTCGACACCACATGATCCCATGGGCTGGTGTGCTTCTTCCATGTGGGCTTTGTTGCTTCTCTTGTAGATGGCCACTGTTTAACTTCAAGCCTTTAAGACCCCAGACGCTATAGCTTTTAATAGCCAGAAACCCTTTAACATCAGCTTTCTTCACCACATTTGCTTATGCACCCATTTCGTCTTCAGTGATCCTGTCAGGAAAGTGAGTATCATACAATGCCACATTATTAGAATAAACCGTTTTTGTACTGAGATAAGATTTAAGAAGAGGCCCAAAGTTCATCTGCTTCTTTGTTGTATTTACACACACACACACACACACACACAAATACACATGTCTTTATATATTTACATATATACATATCTATATTTATACCTATATATATATAATTGTACTTCCTCCTTCTTTCTACGTTTTCTTTCCACCTGCCTGGGCTTCTTTTTAAATTTTTGAAATGAATTCTTTTGGAATCATACCAGTTATTATTGGAGTAGCTATATTTTTTATCCTTAAAGTTCTTTTTTGATGTGATATGTAATTTATTGCACTATTCTTAAAACTTTTTATAAATTGGATTTTTTTTTTTTCAAAACAAAATTTTAAAATTAAACAGTCTTAAAATCCTTTGTAAACATTAGTATGAAACTTCTGAACCATTTTTACTTTTCATTCTGGCTGAAATTTTGAAAGAATGTTGGCCTAAGAGCTTGGACTATAATGATCAATGAGCTTTCATTTCAGAGAAAGAGAATCTAAGTCCAAATTATTTAACACCCATGGAAATCTGATTTTTAGAATTTACAAATAATGCCAGATTTTACTAAGAAGTTGTTTTTCTCTCCTAGTTGGTTGAAATGTTGGACATGTCTGTTCCAGCTGTCGCTAAATTGAGACGTCTCTTAGATCACCTTCCAAGAGAAGCCTTACCAGACATTCTGACGTCAATTATCCGAACAAGCAACAAGGAGAAACTCCAGGTATTTCCCCTTCTTGCACATCATATTGTACTGTCACTTTTTAATTTGTGTTTAGGCAGTGAACAGCTTTTTAGTTTTGGGTTTTTTTTGGTAGTGAGCAGTTTTAATTTTGACTTTAAAGGAAGAGATACTAGAAATTTTTTTTTTAAGTTAAAAATGCTTTCATACTTAAATATCCTTTTAAATGATTATTTTAAATTTTTATGTTAAACAGAAACTTTTATTTGCTTATCAGTCAATTAATGGGGAAAAATTGAAGGAGAGAATTAAATGGTGTATATTTAATTTAACTTCTGATCTGTAAACATACTTTGCCTCACCATTTTTTTTTAGTCATTTTATTAGGAGCTCATACAACTCTTATCACAATCCATACATACATCAATTGTGTTTATCACAATCCATACATAACATCAATTGTGTAAAGCGCATTTGTACATTCATTGCCCTCATCATTCTCAAAAGATTTCCTCTCCACTTAAGCCCCCGGCATTAGGTCCTCATTTTTTCCCCTCCCTCCCCACTTCCCCCTCTCTCATGAGCCCTTGACAATTTATAAATTATTATTTTGTCATATCTTGCCCTGTCCGACATCTCCCTTCACCCACTTTTCTGTTGTCTGTCCCCCAGGGAGGAGGTCACATATAGTTCCTTGTAATCGGTTCCCTCTTTCCTACCCACTCTCCCTCTACCCTCCCAATATCGCCACTCACACCACGGATCCTGTAGGGATCATTCCCTGTATTTCCAGTTCCTATCTGTACCAGTGTACATCCTCTGGTCTAGCCAGACTTGCAAGGTAGAATTCGTGTCATGATAGTGGGAGCGGGGAGGAAACATTTAGGAACTAGAGGAAAGTTGTATTTTTCATCTTTGCTACATCGCACCCTGACTGGCTCGTCTGCCTCACCATTTTTTAAACATCTACAGCAGTAGTTCTCAACCTATGGGTCGCAACTCCTTTGGGGGTCTAATGACCCTTTTATGGGGTCGCCTAGACCATCAGAAAACACATATTCTCAATGGTCTTAGGAACCGAAACACTGCTCCTCTATCCCTCTCCAGGCAAGTCTGCCCACATGCAGATACGCTGACATATGAGTACCCAGCGTGAAGACTGTTACCCATGCTACACCATGCTTCAAGACAAAATTTTATTTATTTGTAATTAGAATTAAATACTTCTCAATATTTAATTATATATTGTTTTTGTGATTAATTACTATGCTTTAATTATGTTCAGTTTATAATAATGAAAATACATCCTGCATATCAGATATTTACATTACGATTCATAACAGTAGCAAATTTACAGTTATGAAGTAGCAACAAAAATAATGTTATGGTTGGGGGACACCACAACATGAGGAACTGTATTAAAGGGTCGTGGCATTAGGAAGGTTGAGAACCCCTGATGTGGAGCCATGCCTCTCTCTTCTGCATGGCCCTACTTTATTAGATTTTTCGTGTTCCTTATGTAAACCACACCTACGTTGCATTGTCCATGACTTTTGCTTTCTCTTTCTTTAAAGTGAAATGCATTTTAGGTTCTTGAAAAGTAATGCAAACGTCGAATTGTAGATTTGCATGGCTTTCCCTCAAACCACAGTACTATAGTTTTCTTAAGAACTTTTATAGTCTTTTTAAGAAGCAGCCTGCCTGATTGGATCTTTATAGTATTTTTTTAAGCAGCCTGCTTTATAGGATCATCTTAGACTAAGTTAGTTTTCATTGAAACAACCTTTCTTTTCATTAGTTTCCTTAATATTCAAGTCAAGCAATTATAATTGCTAGTATACCTAATACAATTCCACTGTTGGGAGTAGATGAATGTAGGGGTCCTTGAGAGTAACTTGAATGTGGCCCTCAGCAATTTTTAAAAATAGTTTTATTGGGACATAATCCACATATCATACATTTCAATAGTTCAGTCATATTGAGAGAGTTATATAATCATTACCACAATCATCAATTTTAGGACATTTTCTTCTTTCTTGAACTCCATGTTAGTGGCTCCCCATCCCCCACCCCTCTCCAACTTCCTCTGCTATACCCTCAAGAAACTACTAATCCAGTCATTTATAGATTCACCCATCCTGTATTTCATATGCCAAAAACCTACCAAAACAAAAAAAGCTAGCAACTAAAAATAAAACAGAGAAAAACCTCAATTGAAAAGAAAGCAGAAAATACTAAAAACTAGAACAACTTTAAAATGGGTCAAAAGAGAAGAGTGTTAAATTTTTACCTAGCTACATCTTCCATAATCCACTTTCCAGTGCACTCGGCACGATAGCAAGACTATTCACAACCCTGGTCTGTGTTCAAAGGGGTTCACCAAAGGTTTAATCCATGTGTATTTATTTCCCCTTCATTTTTTTTAACCGATACAACATTTAAATGGATCAAAGGGGGGATCGAATAAGATGTTACATTTTAGCCTCACTTTATCTACCAAAATCATCTCTACAGTACTCTGTCTGATAACAAGGCTATTCACACCCCTCAACCATGGTCAGAGGGGAAATTCACTGGAACAGATCATAAGTACAGGTTGGTATATAGTGCACTTATTCTATTAATGTATTTAAAATGTCAGTATTTTGAATCTGTAATTTGTTTATGTAACATACATAATATATAAAATATTCTGTAATATGTAAACACATTCTGGGCTCATACGAGAATAATAATTCTCAGAAGAAGAATTGACATCAAATGTGTGTCATTTGGTCTGGAAAAATAGATCGTTTCATTTTTAAATGCAAAATCAAAATACTTCTGTTTTATTAAGATTCTTGCATTCATCTCAGACAACCTTGCTGTTTTAGGGTCATTTCTTGGGTTGTATTAGCCATAATGCAGCAGCAAATATCTATAGGAATTAGCCTTTTACACCACAATTCTAAGTCATTGCTTTTGGAACATGTGTCTCTCGGAGAGCTTCTACTAACTGACTCGCGTTTCCTTAGATTTTAGATGCTGTGAGTCTAGAGGAGCGGTTCAAGATGACGATACCACTACTTGTCAGACAAATTGAAGGCCTAAAATTGCTTCAGAAAACGAGAAAACACAAGCAAGATGATGATAAACGAGTAAATACTTCTTTTAATGTATTCCTTCTAGTTCGTACTTATTTTGATGTGGTCTAAGATATAGAGAAAGAACAAAGAAGGAAGATGCTCATTATCTCTGTGATTCAAGTTACTATTAAAATTTTGGTTATCTTTCCCTCAGGTCCTTCCCTTTCCATGCTGAATCTGAATCCTTTTTTTTCTTTTTCCTTTTTAAATGTGAGCATTTCCTCTTTTTTGTGTGTTTTGCTATGGTCATTACTCAGGGTTAATTTGCTTAGACATTTCTCTCTTTGTTAAACATTTTATGTTGTTCCCAATGTTTGTGTTTATATTTTAAAAATTAATGAATAACTGTTCAACATTTTTGAATATAACTTTTTACTATTTGTAGTATGGAGAGCAGCCTACAAAATTTGTGTGCTAAAGAGACTATATCATTATATTGTGTCATAATTTGCTGCTTTCTTTGTTTTAAGGAGCCCTGGAGATTTAGATATTGGGCTGCTAAGCACAGGCTGGCAGCTCAAACACACTAGCAGCTACTCCTTAGGAGATATATGTGGCTGTTTGCTCTGGTAAAAACTCACCCGATGAACATCAGGTTGCTGTGGGTTGGCGTTTTTAACTTATAAAAATTTTACTTTTCAATATGTCAAAACTGTTTGTCTCTTCCTATCTTCTATGCTTAGAGTCCTTTATCCTCCAATGGTTTGATTCAAGAATCTAGAAAGAAGAGCAGAATACAAAAACCAATTTGATTTTTCTTCAGTAGATTTTTAAAAATGTATTCAGTTCATTTTTGGAAAGTGTTTTTTGTTTGTTGCCATCACGTTGGCCCCATGTACAGTGGAGCAGAACATATCCTGGTCCTGATCATCACCATGATCTTTTAATGGTCTGACCTGTTGTGAACTGTAGCATTCTCAGTGACTGATACAAAGCAGCAGAGCAATAAGCCTTTCTTTCTACCATTTTAATCTAGGAGCACACTGGAACCTGTTCAGTATTACATTAGAATGCAGTCCTCCATGAGTTACGTGGGCCAAGAATCAAACTCAAATCTCCCACATGCAACGTGAGATTTTTACTGCAGAAACATCAATGGCCACACATTCCCAAATAGCTTTCTGCGTAACTTAACACCATTTAAAAAATACACTTTTCTTCTTCATTGATTTATGGTACATCTTGTTTGTACAGTATATTTATGTTAGGATGGGATCTGTTTAAAATCTACCTTGAACTGCTGATTACCATCTTTATACTAGTGGGCAGAGAAGATGTGGAAAATATATTTGCAGTAGAAAAGAGGGTTGTATGGGGCAACTGGAGATCAGAACTCTGGGTTAGGTGAAAGGTAGAAAATGAAATCTGACATTCTCTGGCCATCAATACAGAAGTGCTTTTGCATCAATGGGAATGCAGTATAGCAAAAAGAAAGCTGGAACAAAAGATTTCTTCCTGGTGAGACTAGAAAAACAGACTGAAGAAAAGAGAGAGAGGGGATAGGAATCACCATGCTGTTGTTGAATGTATTTGGGTATCATGCTGTGCAGAACAAACACACTCGAAATCTTCATTGTTACTGACTGGAGATTAGATCAGTGACTTGATTTATTCATTTTGTGCAGAAACATAATGTGCACTTTGCACTGAGAGTCACAGTTCAGGTGACTATCAAGAAAGATTGTATAAAGCAGGTTTCATAGTGCTCCAAAAAGTATTAAACATGAGGCAGTTATTTGAAAGTTGAGGAATCAGAAGTTAATTTGGCATTAGCTTAAACTATCTCTTACTATTCCCTTAATTGTTGAAATTTCACTATTTTAGCAACCAAGAGAAAAATTGCATTAAAAGTACTTTCGTCTCAATAGTGAAATCATTGATAAGCCTTTTTTTAAGTCTTTTTAAAAAAAGAAGACAATTTCGTTTTTAGCTTTTTGGTATTTACACTATTTTATTATTATCTACCCTGGTTGCATCTGTGTTAGGTTGCGATTTGCAAGGTCAGCACTCAGAGTCACCAACCACTCAGCAGCAGAAAGACAGGCTTTCTCCTCCAGAATGGAGTGAAATCCTCGAGAACCACAACAGCGTTTCTACCCCGGCCTATAGGCTTGTTATGAGTTGGGATCAACTCAAGGGCGTTAAGTTTTTTTAGAAAATGATTTTGTAAGAAGGAAGGAATGAAATGAATCAAAGTATTGCTATAAAATCTTAAAAACATTTATTAAACAAAAATAGCAAAATGTTTCTCAATATAAACCTCTAACCTTCCCCAAAGAATTTTACGCTCTTCAATTTACACAGGTTGGTCATTTTTTTGGACATTCTTTAGGGATTAAGATCATTCTCCTTTTAAACATTTGTAATATGTTTGGAAGTGTGCAAGGACAAGATTAGAGCTATAGGGTGGAAAGAGTAAGGTTTTCCAGTGCGATTCTTACAGGATAGCTCTTGCTACCCTCAATGAGCACGTGCATTATATGAGAGGGAAAGAATTCTTTGGCACAACTTTTGTGGCTTTTTATAATCAACATAGTTAATCAATTTTCTTAAAACTTCATAATAAGCTATCATAATCATCCTATGTCTTTGAAAAAGCTTTCAAGAATTACACCTTGGGAGTCCCACAAAACAAATTCCACAACTTTCTGAGTTGAACTTTCTGCCTTGAAGTGAATTGGCCCAGCAAATCCTTAGAAACCAGTTTTCATGTGACCTTTTTGAAAGAGCACATCCCAATGAGACTAAGACAAATGTATTACTGAGAGTACTTGTCTTTGGCCATCCACTGACTACAGACATGTGTAAGCTCTTTTTGTTTGGAGTAAACTTGTTCTTCAAAAAGTTTATGGAAAATGCCATTATCTTTTAATTACATTTTCTATAAACTTTTAGATGCTTCCTCATTTAATATTTGTAATTTTCTTTCTATGTAGTTTTGTTTCAAGCTTTTTATGTTGAATAAATTAGAGTAAAAAGGGGGAACTCTGGGGACTTTTATATTAAATACCAGCATTTCCGGTAATTTGTTCCGGTAATGATTGAGATTATTCACAATATAAATGAATTAATAATTTTCAAGAGTACATAGAGAATAAATGCAAATAAAAGGCGTTTGATTTGGCTTAGAGATGGATGTTGGTTTTAAAGGAACAATTTCAACACAATGGGAATAGAATGCAAAGGTTGTCTGAAGGAAGTGGTAAGAAGAGGGAAGCAGTTGTTAAAGGCATTTGTTGGAAAGCAGACATTGCCAAGAAGGAAGTAAATAGTGTGGCAGTTTATAGGAAGGAGCCAAAGGCAAGTTAAAATGTAGGAGGAGGAAGACTTTCTATATATGTTGAAGGCACAAAGGATAGAACCCGTGGTAGAAATATTGAAGATGCTAAAAAATGTTGTAATGTAGGAGGAAAAATGGGAATGTTTAGTTATCAAGTGGTAGGAAATAATATATATCAAGAAAATAGTGGTTATAGTAGTAGCTGAAAGAAAAGCAATTTCTCATTGTTTTAATTATTTCTAGTTGCCAGTTCCTTGAAATTATCCTAGACTCTGTATATGTATCTGCCTCTTAGTTATCATTCTGAACTTTAGTTTCTAAAGATTTATTTCTTACTGTGATTTCGATGAAAGTTTACAGACTAAATAGGTGTTCCATTCGACAATTTTATGCACCTTATGTTTTATAAGTAGTTGAAATTCCAAATTCCTAAAGATTTACACTGTGGCCTTAAAAGTGTTTACACAGTACCAGTCATAATCTATGTTTATTTCATTTCCAATTTCTTTTGACATACGGTTTATCTCTTCTACTTTTTATTTTAGGTTATAGCAATACGCCCTATTAGGAGAATTACACACATCCCAGGTACTTTAGAGGATGAGGATGAAGATGAAGACAATGATGACATTGTTATGCTAGAGAAAAAAATACGAACATCTAGTATGCCGGAACAGGCCCATAAAGTCTGTGTCAAAGAGATAAAAAGGTAAATTGTATTCATTAGTGTTTTCATTTTAAAATTAATATTTAAAAACATGCTCATGAAATCAATTTTGCTGCTTTGAATCACAGATGAAAGTACAATCATTTGAGAGACATCGGTCAGTGTAACACATGAAAAAATAATAATAATTTGTAAATGATCAACAGTTCATGAGGGAGGGAGGGAAAAAAATGAGGAGTATACATCCTCTGGTTTAGCCAGATTTGTAAGGTAGAATTGGGAACATGATAGTTAGCGGGGAGGAAGCATTAAAGAACTAGAGGAAAGTTGTATGTTTCATTGGTGCTATACTGCACCCTGACTGACTGGTCTCCTCTCCACGACCCTTCTGCAAGGGGATTTCCAGTTGCCTACAGATGGGCTTTGGGTCTCTACTCCACACTCCTTCGCATTCACAATTATATGATTTTTTGTTCTTTGATGCCTGCTACCTGATCCCACTGACACTTCACAATCACATAGGCTGGTGTGCTTCTTCCATGTGGGCTTTGTTGCTTCTGAGCTACATGGCCACTTGTTTACCTTCAAGCCTTTAAGATAAGACCCCAGACACTATATCTTTTGATAGCCGGGCACCATCAGCTTTCTTGACCACATTTGTTTATGCAGCTGCTTTGTCTTCAGCTATCATGTAGGGAAGGTGAGCGTCATGGAATGTCAGTTTAAAAGAACAAAGTGTTTTTGCATTGTGGAAATACTTTAGTAGAGACCCAATGTCCATCTGCTACCTTAATACTAAACCTATAAATATGTGCACATAGATCTATTTCCCCATCGTCATATATAAATATATATGTACATGCCTGTATTTAGACCTCTATAAATGCCCTTTATCTCCTAGTTCTTTCCTTTATTTCCTTTTACTTTCCTCTTGTTGCACTATCATGTTCAGCCTTCATTTGGGTTTCAGTAATTCCTCTCAGTTACGTTGCCCTTGATCAAGCCCCACCAGGTCTCGTACACCCAAACCCAGGTCTTGTCCCTGGGTTTGCTAACACCACTTCCTTTCCTCCCCCCCCTCCCCTCCCTCCCATGTCCTCCCGGAACCGTTGGTCTCCTTGTTTTCTCCTCCAGATTGTTTATCCCACCTATCATATATAAATAGACCTCCAGATATAATAATTGCACAAAAAACAAGACAGAGGAAAACAAGATAATAACAACAACAAAAAACCAATGACAAAAAAAGAGAAAAGCCTGTAAATAGTTCAAGGTCTGTTTGTTGACCTTTAGGAGTGTTTTCCAGTCAAGTCTGATGGCTTATTCTATTTGCTTTCACTATAATAAGGTCATCAGTAGGTCTTATATACTTAAAAAACAGAAAAGCATGTAATAAAAATTCAAGAGGGTTACTCTCAACGACAAAATACATGTGAGATAACACCAATATGAAGAGAGAGAGAAAAAAAAACACCAAAAATGTTGGAAACCAGATGAATGCCCAACATGCCTCAGAGGGGCATCAGCTGAATAGGCTTGAACTGTTGTCAGGTTTGTCATTTTGATCTCCTGTAGCCATCTCTCCAGTGCACTCTGTTTAGTATAACCAATTTCTCTCCGTCTCTCTATTATGGACAGAGGGAAATCACAGGAGGCTTATTTCCTATGTAGATCTCACAACTGTATCTTGGGCTTCTTGTCATCCATAGCCTTTAATCTCACAATTTAGACTGAGAATTTTATCAGTTTTATATTCTAAGAAAACTAGAATTTCACAATTTAGACTCTGTTATTATTCCTCCCTTTGGTATCAGATTATATGATTTATAATCCTTCTGTAACTGATGGTGTGCTTCTTCAATGCGGACTTAATTGACATCTCACTTAGATGGTTGCTTGTTAAGCAGTTAAGACCCCAACGCTATTTTATCTGGTAGCTGAGCACTATCTAATTTCTTCACCACACTTGACAACAGCATCCACATCTTCTGTGTTCCCCTGAGGGCTAGTATTGAGCAGGGCCACGATGGAAGAACTAATTATTCACAAATTGGAGCTAGTATTTAATGTGAACCCCAAACCCATTCCTGGATCTATGTTTTTTTTATCTACCTCTGGCTCCCTTTAGAGACTTTTTTGTTAATTTATGGTCAAAAGACTTATCAATGATCATTTCCCTGGGGCATAATGATCTTCTATTAATATTGTCATTGATTAACACAGGTACTAATTTTTTAAAACATTGTTGAAAGAGAGATATTGGGCCAATGTACGGTAACTACATATTGCAATACCTGAATTATTGACTTGTATAGAATAAATCCTTTCATGGCTGGGCAGTATTTACACAAACAAAAGGGGTTGGTTGTCCAGGAAAACTTAAAACAGTATTCACTGTGACTATCAATCACAGGTTTGCTGAAATAATGTATATCTTAAAACAGCATATAGGGCATTGTAGTAAGTCAATGATTGTCCACTTACTGACAGACTATTCAGTACTCTGGGTGTAGCTGTCTTTTGTTTCTTCAAACACCGTGGATTATCTGTCTCAAGTCTTTAGATCACAAATGTGTTTGAAGTGGAGTCCAGTTCCACATTGGGTCTCTCTGGTGCAGCCTTTGGAGTGTGTTCTGTGCCTTGAGTATGCAGGATTCGGTGTCCCCGTTTTCTCTGGCACTTGACCTGGGTCCCTAGGATGTGCCCAGACACTCAAGGCAATGTGGCTTATCCGGTGCATATTACCAGAGATACTTCCCCTTTAGGGTCCTTAAAAGTACTTTTAGTCATTTTTCCCCCGCTTGGAGGTTGGTCCTTCCCCTTTTTCTACCAACAGCCATGCACTTGTGTTCCCGAGACATGTGTGTTCGCTTTCCCCTCCCCTGACTTGACTTTCCCCACAGTATCCTTCATCCCTCTGATAGGGATGTCTACCTGTCTGGGGACCTCGTCATAATTTTGCATGGCAGGGCATTCAGTGGCCAGTATCCCCTCCCTCTCCCTCGACAGTTTGATCCCAGGTGACGTAAGGAGCCCTTCTCCAAAGTGGCCTTCAAGATACATACCTAGATACGATGGTGTATGTATGGGTCACTAGCACCAGTCAGGCCCTCTACTAGGCTGTCTGGCCAGCAGGCTAGATGCCCTGCAATCCTGAGCTTGTGGCCATCTTGTTGCTTGTTTCTACAGCAGTGGACTCCTATAGTATATGTCCTTTTGTGATTGGCTAACTTCACTCAGCATAATGTTTTCCAAATCCTCCGTGTCTTGAGGTGTTTCTTGCTGTTTTTTAGGGATAATTAGTATCACATTGTATGCATTTAAAAAAAAAAGTTTTTATCCAATCTTCTACTGATGAGAATTCAGGCTGTTTCCAACTTCTTTCTATTGTGAGTTATGCTGCAGTGAACATGGGAGAGCATACATCAGTTTGTGGTCTGTTTCTTATTTCTTTGGGGTATATAAAAATTTTTTTTAAAAAGTAAAATGATGGCCTGTAGATTGGGAAAAGTTATTTAGCAATGACATAACAAAGGACCAATTACTAAAATCTATGGCAAGCAGAGGACTGGAACAGACGATTCACAGAGGATGACACTCGAATGGCTAATAAAAACACATGAGTAAATGCTCTCACTTACTAGCCATATGAAAAATGCAAGTCAAAACAACCATGAGATACCATCTAACACCATAACCATAGCCCAATTTTTAAAAACTGGGAACAACAAATGCTGGAGATGGTGTGGAGAGATTGGAACTCTTATATATTGCTGGTGGGCTTGTAACTACGTAAGACCCCAGACGCTATATCTTTTGATAGCCGAGCACCATCAGCTTTCTTTTTTTTTTAAATCATTTTATTAGGGGCTCATACAACTCTTATCACAATCCATACATACATCAATTGTGTAAAGCACATTTGTACATTCATTGCCCTCATCGTTCTCAAAACATTTGCTCTCCACGTAAGCCCCTGGCATCAGCTACTCATTTTTTCCCTTCCCTTCCCGCTCCCCTCTCCCTCATGAACCCTTGATAGTTTATAAATTATTATTTTGTCATATCTTGCCCTGTCCGACGTCTCCCTTCACCCACTTTTCTGTTGTCCGTCCCCCAGAGAGGAGGTAACATGTAGATCCTTGTAATCAGTTCCCCCTTTCCAACCCACTCTCCCTCTACCCTCCCTGTATCACCACTCTCACCACTGGTCCTGTAGGGATCATCCGCCCTGGATTCCCTGTGTTTCCGGTTCCTGTCTGTACCAGTGACCATCCTCTGCTCTAGCCAGACTTGCATTTTACTCTTTTAATGAATTATTTTGATGTACACCAGTGTTTTATTTTCAATAGATCTCATTCATCTGTTTTGTCTTCCATTGTGTGTGCTTCCTTTATTATATCTGGTAGCCGGTGTATGCTCTGTACTAGGTCACTTAGATTTCCCTCAGTGTTCTCATTGATGATCCTGTTAGCTTTGAGTTTTACGTTTAGGTCTTTAATCCACCTTGAGTTTGTTTTTGTCCCTGGGTTGAGGTATGGGTCTTGTTTCATTCTTCTGTAGATGGAGATACAATTTTTCCAGCACCGTTTATTTAAGAGGACATCACCTTCCCATTTAATTCTTATTGGACCTTTGTACAAAATCAGTTGTCTGTATGTGGATATCTTTATTTCTGGGTTTTCTGTCTTGATCCATTGATATATGTATCTATCATTATACCAGTGTCATGCTATTTTGAGAACTGTGCCTGTGTATTTTGAGGCCAGGTAGTGCAAAACTGCCTACTTTGTTCTTCTGGGGGAGTTCTTTGCTTACTAGGCTTCTTCCCTGTCCATATGAAGTGGGTCATTCATTTTTCCATTTCTTTAAAGAATAATACTGGCATTTGGATCAGGAGTGCATGGGATTGGAAGATAGCTTTAGGTAGTGTTGACACAGGATATTCTTCCATTTGTGTGGGTCTCTTTGGTTTCTCGTAATAATGTTCTGTAGTTTTGTTTGCACAGGCCTTTTGTTTCTTTGGTTAGGTTTATTTCTAG